AGGTGGAGTCCACGAGGCGATTCGAGGCACTCTACAGGGGCAGCGCTAATGAGCGACTCCCCTTCTTTGATTCATCCCCTCCAAGATGGCTCCAAGAGCGCTTGGAAAGCTCCCAAGAGCGCCCCAAGAGCGCCCCAAGCTCCCAAGGAACCTCAAAACTCTCTTTCCGAAGAGGCCCCCCAGCTCGCCATTGTCCTCCTCCTCCTCCTCCTCTTCCTCCTCGTCCTCCTCCTCCTCCTCCTCCTCCCCTTTGTTCTTCCTCATCCTCCTTCTCCTCCTCCTCCTCCTTCCCATCCTCCTACTCCTCCTGCCTCCCTCCTCTTCCTCCTCCTCCTCCTCCTCCTCCTCATCCTCCTCCTCTTCCTCCTCCGACCTCTTCCTCATCCTCCTCCTTTTCTTCCTCATCCTCCTCCTCCTCGTCCCTCCTCCTCCTCCTCTTCCTCCTCAGCTGCAGATTTCTCCTCCATTCCTCCTCCCTCTTTTCCTTCCTCCAATTCCTCGTCATCCTCCTCCTCCTCCTCCTGATATCCCCCTCCTCAGCTGCCGATGTCTCTTCCATCACCTCCGGGAAACTCCAAGAGGCGCCCAAAAAGCCCCAAGAGGCCCCAAAAGGGTTTTAAAAAAAGCTCCAATATGCTCCAAGAGACTCCAAAATATTCCCACAAACCTCCTCCTCCTCCTCCTTCCTCGTCCTCGTCATCCTCCTCCTCCTCCTCCTCCTCCTCCTCTTCCTCCTCCTCCTCCCTCCCTCCTCCTCCTTCCTCCTCCTCCTCCTTCATCCTCCTCCTCATCCTGCTCCTCATCCTCCTCCCCCTCCTCATCCGCATCAGAAATCGCCATATAACTTCTCCCCGGGCACCGACATCGCCATATAATCCCACCAGCCCTTTAGGGCGTAGGTGGTCTAGAGAGTTTCCTCTGCCAACCCCCTTCTTCCCCTTCGGGGAGGGGTTTACCCCTCCCCTTACCCCTCCCCACTGACCTGGACGAGGCGTTCCGCGACGCGTTGGGACGTCCAAGATGGCCCAAGACAGCTCCAAGAGCGAAAATGCGAGAAAGCAAAAAACATTGATTTTACCTAGGTTTTGGAAGGATTTTGGCCTCTTGGGGGGGCCCAAGAGGCGATCCGAGGCACTCTAGAGGGGCAACCCTAATTGGAGCTCCCCCCTTCTTTGATAGATCTCCTCCAAGATGGCCCCAAGAGCGCCCCGAAGGCTCCCAAGAGCGCCCCAAGAGCGCCCCAAGAGCGCCCCCAGAGACCCCAAGAGGCCCCCAAGAAGCCTCTAAGAGGCTGCCAAGAGACCCCCAAGAGGCCCCAAGAGAGTCCAAGATGGCCCAAGACGGCTCCAAGAGCGAAAAGGCGAGAAAGCAAAAAACATTGATTTTCCTTAGGTTTTGGAAGGATTTTGGCCTCTTGGGGGGCCCAAGAGGCGACTCGAGGCACTCTAGAGGGGCAGCGCTAATATACGACCCTCCCTTCTTTGATCGATCTCCTCCAAGATGGCCCCAAGAGCGCCCCGAAGGCTCCCAAGAGCGCCCCAAGAGCGCCCCAAGAGCGCCCCAAGAGGGCCCCAAGAGGCCCCAAGAGGCCCCCAAGATGCCCCCAAGAGGCTCCCAAGAGACCCCCAAGAGGCCCCAAGATGCTCCCAAGATGGCCCAAGACGGCTCCAAGAGCGAAAAGGCGAGAAAGCAAAAAACATTGATTTTCCTTAGGTTTTGGACGGATTTTGGCCTCTAGGAAGGCCCAAGAGGCGATTCGAGGCACTCTAGAGGGGCAACGCTAATAAGCAACCCCCCCTTCTTGATAGATCTCCTCCAAGATGGCCCCAAGAGCGCCCCGAAGGCTCCCAAGAGCGCCCCAAGAGCGCCCCAAGAGGGCCCCAAGAGGCCCCAAGAGGCCCCCAAGAGGCCTCCAAGAGGCCTCCAAGAGACTCCCAAAAGGACACAAGAAGCCCCCGAGATACGCAAGAGGCCCCCGGGACCGCCAAGAGGCCCCAAAGACGGCCCAAGAGGCCCCCAAGCTCGCCATTGTCCTCCTCCTCCTCCTCCTCTTTTTCTCCTTCCTCCCTCCTCCCCCTCCCCCTCCTCCTCCTCCTCCTTCTCCTCCTCCTCCTCCTCCTTCTCGTCCTCCTCGTCCTCGCCCTCCTCCATCTCCTCCTCCTCATCTTCCTCCTCCTCCTCCTCCTCTTTCTCCTCCCCCTCCTCCTCCTGCTCCTCCTCCTGCTCCTCGTCTTCCTCCTCCTACTCCGACGACGACGACTCCTCCTACATCCTCCCCCTCTTGGAACGTATGGCGGCTTAACCCGCTCTTTGTTCTTCTGCATGCTCCCCCGCTTCCCTCATCACCTCCACTCCTCTGGGGCTCATTTCTGGACGGGCTGGTGGGGATACGCGAAGCGTCTAGAATTTCGTTACGTCCTAATGCCGCAACGCAGCCCCTTCAGCTTCTCGTCGTTCGCAATGCCCTGACCGACAAATGCTCGAGCCTGTCCCGCGTCGAGGGCCCGGCATTCAAACCTCACGTGAAAGAGGGTGCACGGGGCGCCTGAACAGGGTTGACAAACAGTGGTGTCACTGATGGATGCGGTGTTCACACAACTTGACGTGCATCCAGGTTCCTAGTGATGATGGGCCTGTTTTCCACCACCACCACCATAAGTTGGATGGGGGAAAGGAGGAGGACGAGAAAGCGGAGGACGAGGAGGAGGAGAAGGAGGAGGAGGAGGAGGACCCCTCCCTCCAACTTGTGATGGTGGTGATGGTGGATAGCAGGCCCATCATTTTATTCGGCTTCTCGACATTGGGCGGAAGGGGGGGAGGGGGAGGAGGAGGAGGAGGAGGAGGAGGAGGAGGAGGAGGAGGCGGAGGAGGAGGAGGAGGGGATGGGGGGGAGGGTTCTGGCTCCGCGCCTCTGCTCAGTGCGCGACTGTTTGCGACCGTGCGTCCCGTGGGGGAGGGGCTCCGCCTGCTCGAAACGGGCGCCAAAACAGCCAAGATCCGCTCCCAGGGGTCGGGCCGGGCGAAAGGGGGGGATAGCAAAGGGGGGGTTTGAGAATCAGCTCACGTAGCTGATTTTCCCGGCGCCTCCCGGCGCCGGGAGGCGCCCATGTATCGAGGAATGGGCCCGGCGGCGGGGCCGAAACCAGCTGCATGCAGCAGATTTCGTACCCCCCCCCTTTCCCAATCCCCCCTTTTCGCCCGACCCGAATGGGGGGTGAGGGGGGGCTTGGGGGCCCGCGCCGATCGGCAAAACAATAAATAACAAACAATCACCTTGAATCCAGGTTCCCAGGGGGGAGCAGTTTCGAACGCAACTCTGGTGGTGATCGCGCTGCACTTCGTTGCGGCTGCCACTCACAATCTTCCGCACGCCTTCCCACATCGAAGGTCGACACCACGCCTGTTTCAACCTGTGCCGCTGGCGCCATGTTTTTACATATGGCCTGTGTCCTGCGCCCCTCACACCATAGCCGCGCACCCCAAGCGGCGGCGCCGCCCTCCCAGACCGCTCTGGAACGCTCAGAGAGTGCTCCGAAACACTCTGTAACAGTCATCGGCCTGACCTAAAGAACGATCAATAAGGAACCAAGCTTTTTATTCTGAACGAATATCGCATGAGGAACGATCTAGTATAAATAACGCATAAGGGGCGATATATAACGCATGCGAACCTGAGGAACGACCGAGCCCCTCTTGAAAAGTAAGCGCTCCTAATTCAAGCCGCTCACTGTGGTCGGATCTAGGACAGAAGAACATCCTTCAAGAACGCGAGACCCTCCGCCGGCCAAACTGAGGAACATTCGAGGGTGCCCTCCCCCAGGACGCACAAGAGCATCCAACAGACACGAAGTACATTAGGGTACCCTCCCTGAAACGATTTCGATCTTATACCTCGGTCCGACTGTGTCCCGATCCTGCACCCGACTTGAGCAATGCAGGATGGCAACGAACCTGTGTGGACAACGAGCTGTGACGAGGGACCTGCGCCGAACAGGAAGATACATGTGACCACTCTGAGAAAGCATCAGACGATACTACCACGGTGCTGCTCGGCACGCATCGTCCGAGAAATGAGGAGGGGCTGGAGGACGAGAAGCAAAGGAAACGCAAGATGCGGATGAGGATCAGGATGAAGATGAGGAGGGGCAAGGGAGCAGGATGAACAGGGAGAGGAGGTGGACGAGGATCACACAGAGCAATGGGAAGAACATCAGTATATCACAGCCCAGCCACGAGACATGCTGCCTTTGCCTCGTACACGTAATGGGGTATAGTATTCCCCCCCCGGCGGTGCGGGTGCGGGTGATGTGAGATGACTTGTCCTCCTCATCTTCATCTCCCACATCATCCTCCTGACATGTATGTATTTCGTTTGTGATTCCCGTCTTCGAGGGGTGCTGCTGCTGCACCTTCTCTGGTAAAGAGAAAGTGTCTGCAATTGGCCAAGTCTGCTTTTGCGCTAGCTTGAGCGTGTACGGTGCGTGTGTACTTGTGCGTGATTGCGAAATTCGAGTGTCCCTGTCTTCACGGCCAGCGCTGCTCTGGGAGCTTCAATAGCTGATCGCATCCTGTCAGCTGTGGTGACCTGTATCTGGACAGCTTGATAGTATCCCGTCGGGCCGCTAATACGAAACACCGTGTGTGTGTGTGCTTGTGTGTGTGAGGGTGTGTGTGTGTGTGTGTATGTGTGTGAGAGTGTGTCCGTGCCTGTGCGGGAAGTCTGCGGAGGCATGAAGGAGGAAAAAGAACTGGAAACGAGGAGGACAGGGAGGAGGAAGGGGAACACGGATGTCTATGATATTACTGAGGTGGACGAGAATGGAGGAGGAGAAGAAGGAACATGGCGATGCAGAGGAACAGGGTGATGTTAAGGAGGCGGAGCATGATGACGAGACGGAGAAAAGAGGCTGCTGAGGCATATGAGGAGCAGCAGCGGGTCGACGAGGAGTCGAACGAGGCCGCGGAGGAGGGGCAGGATGAAGAACAGCGAGGCGCGCCGCCTTCAACATCGGGGAAACCGAGGCCGACTTCTGGCGGTCGCGGCGGTAGGACCTCTCGGCCTGCGGCGGGGCTTGCGGAGAGGCGACGTCCTCGTCGTCGACGAAGTCATACTCGTCGTCCGCGTCGTCATCCTCCGTTCTTTTCTCTTTGTGCCCGTTCCCTCCTCCTCCTCCTCCTCCTCCTCCTCCTCCTCCTCCTCCTCCTCCTCCTCCCCCTCCTCATGTATCATCCTCCTCCACCACATCCTCATCGTTGTTCGATTCCGTCTCCGCCCCCCTCCTTCCTCGTTCCTCGCGCAACCTTCCTTAGCCATGTGTATCTCCCACCTTTTTGCGTTCGACCGACATTGGCTGGATGGTCGCGTCGTCAGAACGTGCGTGCTGGAACAGAAGGAAGCATATGCGTGAACACGAATGGATTACGCAATCAATGCGTGCACGAGAAGAACGAGAAAACGAGGGGCGACCAGCGGAGAGGCCCCCCAGGGGCAAAGAGGAGAGCACAGCGGCAAGGCTTCCCCTCATCCTCCTCGTCCTCCTCCTTCTCCGACGCTTCGCCTCCTCCTCCTCCTCCTCCATCCTGCTCCATCCTGCTCTCGCCTTCCTCCGCCTCCTTCCATCCTCCTCCTCCTCCTTCCCTCCTGCTTCCTCCCCCTCCTCCTCCTCCTCCTCCTCCTCTCCTCCTCCTGCTCCTCCTCCTCCACAATTACTCACTATGACTACTCCTCTCCCTCTCCGCCTGAACTGACGTTGCTGGGAGTTCGACCCCGCCCCCCCCCGCGTACTGTTTTTTTACACACAGGATTCCCGGGAGTTGGGTTTTCGCTTGCATTTTTTTCAAAATTCTGCTCTCGCTGAGGCGCCGGCCTCATGTTCGGGCCCCGCTCGTTCCGAATCGTGCTCCCGCTGCAGCGCTGGCCTCATGTCCGTGTTTCCGCTCGTTCCGAATCGTGCTCCCGCTGCAGCGCTGGCCTCATTTCCGCGCTTCCGCTCGTTTAGGGGGGGGGGGGGGGGGGGGGGACACGTGCTCCCGCCTGGCAGCGGTGGCGTCAATTTCTCCGTGCCATGTATATGCCACGGCATGCAATGCAATGCTCACATTGATACTACGCTTCGCGGTGCTCTTCTATGCCATGCCATGCCGTGCTCTACAATGCATCGCGTACCCTTTCGGGATCATTGCCCTGCTCGACATCCGACTGTGCGAGTAGAGAGGGGATCTGCGCCATGGTAAGGGATGGGAGGGAGGGGTAGGATGTCAAATATGGCGCGAGCGCACCTAGCTTGTCCTCCCCCCCCCTCCCCCTCCTCCCCCTCCTCTCCTCCTCCTCCTCCTCCTCGTCCTCCTCCTCCTCCTCACCCCTGCCTCCTCCTCCTCCTCCTCCTCCTCTCCTTCTCCTCTTCCCCCCTCCTCCTCCTCCTCCTACCTCCTCCTCTCTCCTCCTCCTCCCCCTCCTCCTCCTTCTCCTCCTCCTCCTCCTCCTCCTCCTCCTCCTGCCATCTCTCCTCCTTCCTCCTCCCCCCAATCCTCACCCCCACTTCGCCCCATCACAAGACGAGATGCGGAGGTCCTCCTCCTCCTCCTCCTCCTCCTCCTCCTCCTCCTCCTCATCCCTCCTCCCCCCCCCTCCTCCTCTTCATCCTCCTCCTCCTCCTCCTCTCCGCCTCCCCTCCTCCTCCTCCCCCTCCTCCTCCCTCCTCCTCTTTCTTCTTCCTTCCTCCTCCTCCTCCTCCTCCTCCTCCTCCCCTCCATCCTCCTCCTCCTCCTCTCCTCCTCCTCCTCACGTCCTCCCTCTCCTCCTGCTCCTCCTTCTTTCCTCCTCCTGTTCCCCTCCTCCTCCCTGCCCCCCATCTTTCCTCCTCCTCCTCCCCTCTCCTCCTCCTCCTCCTCCTCCTCCACGTCCTCCTCGTCCTTCCCACGCGCGCAACCTCCTCCTCCTCCTCCTCCTCCTCCCTCCTCCTCCTCCTATCTCCTCCCTCTACCTCGTTCTACTCCTCCTCCTCCCCCCCCTCCTCCTCGTCTCTCCTCCTCCTCCTCCTCCTCATCCTCCTCCTCCTCGCCTCCTCCTCCTACACCCCTCCTCCTCCTCCTGTCCTCCCTTTCTTCTCCTCCTCTCCTCCTCCTCCTCCTCCTCCTCCCTCCTCCTCCTCCTTCTCACTTCCTCCCTCCTCCCTCCTGCTCCCCTTCTTCCTCCTCCTGTTCCCCTCGCCTCCTGCTCCCCCATATCTCCTTCCTCATTCATCCTCCTCCTTCCCTCCTCCTCCCTCTCCCGACTCCACGTCCTCCTCGTCCTCCCCCTCCTCCTCCTCCTCCTCCTCCTCCTCCTCCTCCTCCTCCTCCTCCTCCTCCTCCTCCTCCTCCTCCTCCCTCGCCCGCGGCCCGCGGACATTGCCTTGGCAAGCGCAGTCCTCCCCCCCCCCACCCCCGGCCTCCCCCGGAGGACACGCTCGCTGGGCTGTCTCTGGAGAAGCCTCCTCGTCCTCGTCCTCGGTCCTCGTGCTCATCGTCCTTTCGTCCTCGTGCTCTTCGGCTTTTTCTCCTCGTGCTCCTCGCTCCTTCCTTCCTCCCATCGCCCCCCTCGTCCTCCTCCTCCTGGTCCTCGTCCTCCTGCCAAGGGTTCTGCGTGGAGGACAGTTGGGACGGAGCGAAAGAACAACAAGTCAACGAGGCAGGGGAGGAGGTCGAGGTGGAGGAGGAGGCAGTTGGAGGAAAAGGAAGAGGGAGGAGAGGGAAGGAGGGTGACAAGAGGAGGGATAACAATGATTAGTGTGGGATGCGCATGAAAGGAAGACCACCGAGGAGGGACTGGAAGGGAGAGGAGGAGGGATGGAGGACGGGGATGAAGGATGGGAGGAACGAGTCAGGACGGATAGCACATTATGGATAAGGAAATAGCAGGGAGCATGGAAAAATGGAGAGGTCGAGGGAATGGAGAGCACACAAGGGAAAGCAGGGAAGATGGGGAGGGAAGGGGGAAACAAAATTGATGAAAACGCTGAGGAACGAGATCTGCGTGAATAATTGCAGTAGCTCGGAGCCAACTGGAAGGGCCAACTTGCGCTCGATACGCCAAGCCAAAATAATGACAATTAATGACCAAACCGTATTTCGTAGGAGGCGAAATGCGATCAACACGATGCACGATACTCATGACAAACATGACCGATTATAACTAACAGTGATAACACGCGTGGAGAGTGTGTATGTGTGTCTGTGCGTCTGTGTGTGTCTCTGTGTGTGGGTGCGCGCACTATCCACCAACGTGCCCTCTTGGGCCTCGCGGAGTAGTATCATGCAAGTGCTGTCTGACTGGGCCTTCGGAGTCTTCTAAGGGGCCCTCGCGTCCAGGGGCGTGCACACCCTCCCCACTGAGACCCATCTGGCGTCCCGACGACTCCCGACCGGTCTTCGACGCTTCCCTGTTGCCCGATCTGGTTTCCTGTCTCTGTCTCGTGTATGTAGTTTTGCCTTTCTCTCTCTCACTCTCTCTCTCTCTCTCTGTCTATCTCTCTCTCTCTCTCTCTCCGTGTCTCTTTCTCTTTCTCGCTCTCTCTCTCTCTCTACCTCTCTTTCTGTCCCTCTCTCTGTCTCTCGTGCAGACAACGCACATGTGCCGTCCAGGCCCGCATCTACTAGTCCTCAACCCCTCCGCCGCCCCCCTTACTCCCCCCCCCAACTCCTCCCCCCCTTCCGCCTCCCTCCCCGCTCCATCCCTCGACCCCTGCCTCCGCCCTCCCTCCTCCTCCGCCTCCGCTCCCCTTCTCCCTGTCTTCCTCCCGCCCCATGCGCCTCCCCGCGGGGAGGCCCTGAGATCCGACATTGCGAAAAAACTGCAACTCCCCGTAACAAATCACGCCCGGAACTCTGGACCCCACCTTCCTGCGTTGCTTCTCGAGCCGGATCAATATGTGAGGGTCCCGGAGCCCGAGAGAACGCGAAAACGCAAGTCGTGCAAAAAACGCGACGCCAGGATCTCAGGAGGACACGGAGTTTCCAAAGCGCGGTCCTTGCAGATGCTCGGGAGGTCGCAGCCAGTCTCCACCGCGCCGCGCGACAGGCAGGCGCGCGAGGCGGCGCGGACAGCACCGCGGAGGGCGTCGCCGCGGGGGGGCACCTGGGGACGGGAGGCCCTGTCACTCGGACTGCGGGCGAGTGTTGAAGGCGCCCAGGGGTACACACATAAGTGCACAAATCCCAGGAATCCCCAACTATGTCTGATATTTCTTTGATGCTCGTCCTCCCCCCCCCCACTTCCCAGATGTTCCTGTACGTTCCTGGGGGACGGCTGACCATTGTGTCTGTGTGTGCTCTCCCCCTCCCTCCTGAACTGCGTGGCAGCAGCTCTGCTGCAATTTCCAGCGAGACAGAGGCTGTGTACAGGGCAGTTTTTTAACACATCGGATTTTTAATAATATAGGATTTTTAAGTACATGATCACTGTGTGCATAAATTTATGCATGAACTCATCGTTGCTTTTAACACTAAACCCCTGCATTTCTAATCCATGATCCGCACGCGGAGCATGTACTAAAAACGGCACTGTATCCTGGTGCGCAGTGTCGGGTGGCAAAATATGGGAAGGAGGGACAAGAAGGGTGGGGAGGGGGGGGAACAGGGATTCCCCCAGCGTTCGACACTCCTCCGCGCTCGAGCGAGGAGCAGCTTTGAAAGCGAAGGCGGCGCTTCTTGTATACTTCTTTTTCTCATGCTGTTCGCGCCATCGACGCGCAGGGGCCGTCTGCGCCATGCCAAACGTAACCGATGATCAAAGAAGGGCTACCGACGCGTTATATCCACTCTTCAACTCGCGCATGTCACCCTCGCGCGTGGGGAGGGAGAAGGAGGGGGTCCGAGCGGAACGGAACGGCACGGAGCGGACCAGCGCCGGAACCAGGGCACTGAAGTACTGGTGCCGTCTGGGCAGGGCTGAAGAGGCCGTGGGCTCAAATCGCGTGGGCGTAAAAACAATAGGTGGGATAGCAAGCGAGCCTGCACTGATCTTTTCTTGTATGAGTTCCTCCGCTTCGCCATGAAGAATGGCCGGGTCTTTGCCCAAGCAGCGGTCGCATCATTGGGTACTCACGCGGGCAATGATGGCAAATCCACGAAGAAACATGCTTACACGCGATACTCCAGAACACCATTCTTGTTGACAGACTGTCGCTTGGGGAACTAATTAATGCAGGAAAGACCTTTGCGGCAAACGCTGCCGCGCCACGCGAGAGAACATTTCTCATTCGATACCAGGCGACCGCACAAGTTGCATATGAGCCAGTGCGTGCGCGGCGTGATCAAAAGGCATTGATTGAGTTTGTACGCTCGTGTCTCTCCTCGTGGGCATGTGCGAGCCAAACGAACAGCGTTCGGCTGCATGCTCGCACTTACCTGCCAACGTCATCAGCTTGCTACCCCAGGCTCCCTAACGAACTGCAAAGCTGATCCACCAAGCTGCGATGCACGTGGCCGCTTCCCCTGGAGAGACTTCAGCCAATAATGGTTTCTTCGCGTCATCAGAATCAACATCGAACGTTTCCAACAGTGTTTCCCAGACTCCCGTTGGCGACCACGCACCTTGAACACCACCATCACGTATGCCATTACCACAATCGAAAGACATACGATGCCAACTATGTGTCTTGATGGATGCTTTCCGTACCGCGTTTTGTTGGAGGTGCTGCCTCCTTTTGCGGTCGCGATGAAGGCGCATTCCCTTTGCTCTCACAGACTTAGCGCGCCTGGTCAGCACAAGCTGCGGATGACTCATGGCGGATCCGTTCCTCGGGGTGAAGTGTGTACGGTACTCCAGATTTCGTAATAAAAGGGAGGGGGTCTGGACCCTCCAAGACAAGCCATTTCAGACCTCCCCCGTGGGAGAACCCTCCAAAACATCGTCCCCAGACCCCCCAGGCCCTCCAAGATAGCCTGGAAGAGACCCCCCCCGAAATGAGACCCCCCTCCCTTTATTACGAAATCTGGAGGTCTCCACGGAGTGGCCACGAGGCGTCTGGCAGCAAATTCTCGATCCTCGATCCTCCTTGGCCCAAAGTGACTTGATCCTCCTCGATCCTGGATCTCGACTCTCGATCTTGATCCTCCTCTCCATCCTCGATCCTCCTAAAGTAGAAGAAGAGAAAGGAGGGGTGGGGATGGACAGGGATGAGGAGGGGAGGGAGGTAGGGGATGGAGGGAAGGATGACGGGGAGGAGGCAAGGGTGCGAGGACGAGAAGGGAGGGAGGGACCTTAGAAGGAGGTAGGAACACATGAAGAGCAGGAAGGAACGGGGGAGAGAAGGGAAGGCTGAAGGGCAGGAGGCGGAGGTAGGAGGGTAGGGAAAGGGGACACTACCCGAGCAGGGGAAGCTGAAATCAGGGAAGTCGGGGAGAGCAGCGATTTGTCCCAGATCCCACGCCCTGAAAATGCACCGCCTCCCTCCGACCGCAACCAGCCTTGCGCAGTGTCACCTGACCACACGCGCCCTGCTCGCCTGCTCCTCCGTGCGGTCGCCCAGCTTCGCACATCGCACCCCAAGGATCCGCGACGACGGCGACGACGACCGACCGACCAACACCACGACCACGACGACGACGACGACCGACGACGACGACGATGACGACGATGACGACGACGACGACGACGACGACGACGACGACGACGACGACGTCGACGACGTCGACGACCGACGACGACGATCCCCATGGAGATGGACAGCTCTCCGGCCCCGACCGCGGCGCACGACCGCCTGCCTGCCCCCGCGGGCGACCGACGGTGCTGCGCAGTCGTCCACCGCGAGCTCTGCGGCCGATCCGTGCGTCCTCTCAGCTGCGGTAGGGGCCCGACGACAAGAAGCCTTGCAGAAGAAACGAAGCCAGCACGAGGATAACATCCGGTGAGGATAGATCGAGAGTCTCTGGGATCTGGCGGCTCTGAAGGGATGTCTCAGGCGCCGCGGCCTTCTCAGAACGTTCCGGAAGGCTTTGCAACGGAGTTATCCTCCTCTTACTTTAGGGGCCCGACCGCAAGAAACCTTCCACAAGAAATGCAACCCTCAGACCCCGGGACGTCCTTTGATTTTTGGTGAGGGCACGTCACGCTTTTCATGGCAGAACCATCGAAGCCCAAGAAAGCCATGGCACCCTGGAGGCAAGCAAGGTGCTTCTTGGCATGGGTCTCCACTGTACTGTCGATCCGTGCATCCTCTCAGCTGCTCGCAGCGCCAATTCTGCCGTCGTCGCCGCAGCCATCGTCACGGCCACAGGCGTTGGCGTCGCCGTCACCATCGTCGGCGCTGTCCTCGTCCTGGCCGCTGCCTCGGCCGTGGGCGCCGTGGCCGTGGTCGTCGTTCTCCTAGTAGTCCTCGTCGTCCGTTCTGCAGTCGGTACACTCGACCAGGATAGTAACGATGCGCGATAAGGATGCAAAGGCCTTGGAACGCCATGTTGACGTTTTCCGTGCGGAGCGCAGCAGAATGCCGAAGGATGCCGAATACCGAAGGGGCAATTATGCAAGGGCAGCCTGGGAAAGTTGCCCCATCCTTGCTATCATGGTTGACGGTCGCTGGCGCACCCCCTCCTCTCCCCGCAAAAGGGGGGGGGGGGCTTCTCTGGGAGCGGCACGCCGCCGAGCGGCGGCCGCCCCAGGTCTCAGCTTCGGATCGGAGCTTCGCTAGGGTTATTCAAAACGGCGTTCTCGCCACTTGCCCCCCTCCGTTCCCCTCCGGCGTTTTTTTTGTTGTTCCTGGTGCTCCTACGTATCCCGCTCCTTCCACTCCAATTCCTGCTGCTGCTGCTGCTGCTCGTCCTCATTTTACTTCGGCTTCTCCTCCTGCTAATGCGCAACCTCGTACTCCAATGTACGCAGCTCCCGTGTCCGGCTTGAGGCTCAACAGTATGGGGTCCTTTTTGGAGCCCCAGGCCCGCTATGACACGCGTCGGCGGAGAGAGAGAGCAACTCAGCGCCGTCGGAAGGTATGGGAGGGAGGGCGAGGATGCCAGAGATGGCGCGGGCGCCACTGGCTTCCCCTCCTCCACCCTCCCTCCTCGCAGCTCCCTCCTTTGAGGGAGAAGACACAACACAAACATAGACTTTCGACGGCCCGCGCGGATTTCTTGGATCGGCGCGGGGGCCCCCCTGGCGCGCTCGGAGAGGGGACCAACGCCGATCCAAGGCAGCCGCGCGGACCGTCCAGAGCTTATCCGCCCCCTCCTCCCCGCCCTCTCCTTCTCTCCCCTCTCCCTCCTCGTCTCCCTCCTCCTCTTCCTCCCTCTCATCCCACTATCCTCCTCTCCATCCTCCTCTCCCTCCTCCCAGCTCCCTCCTGCCTCCTCCCCCTTTTCCTCTCCCACCTTCCTCTCCCTCCTCCTTTCCCTCCTCCTCCTCCTCCTCCTCCTCCTCCTCCTCCTCCTCCTCCTCCCCCTCCTCTCACTCCTCTCTCCTCCCCTTCTTCTCCTCCTCCTCCTCCTCCCCCTCCTCCTCCTCCTCCTCCTCCTCCTCCTCTCCTCCTCCTCCTCGTACTCGTTCTCCTCCTCCTCGTCCTCCTCCTCCTCCTCCTCCGCCTCCTCCTCCTCTTCCTCCTCCTCTCCCTCCTCCTCCCCGTAGTCCTCCCTCCTCGCCCCCGAGGGCGGCTGGCGCCGAGCCCGCGCCGCGGGCGCCGCGGCTGCGCTCGTACTCCACGCGCTTGCGGTAGCAGGTCTGGCGAGGAGGAGAGGCATTGACAAGGGGGAGGACCCATTGGACATGAGGAGGAGGAGGAGGAGGAGGAGGAGGAGGAGGAGGAGGAGGAGGACGAGGACGAGGAGGAGGAGGGGGAGGATGATGATGAGGAAGAGGAGGAGGAGGAGGAGGAGGAGGAGGAGGAGGAGAAGGAGGAGGAGGAGGAGGAGTGCCCCGTTGGGTCGAGTCCCACGTATACGCGGCGCTCCTCGCTTCTGCGGACGCTTCCGATCTCGGTCCGCGGACGCCTCTCTTCTGCGCGGCGCGGCGCCCCTCCCTTCTGCGGGCGCCTCTGAGGCCTGAGGGAGGGGGGGAGGGGCGGGGAGGGAGAAGGGAGAGGAGGGGGAGGAGGGGGGAGGGAGAGGTGGAGGAGGGGGGAGAGGTAGGAGGAGGGAGGGGAGGGGATGGAGGAGATGGAGGAGGAGGGGGAGGAGGATGAGGAGGGTGAGGACGACGAGGCCACGACCATGGATGACTAGGAGGCGGTGGCGAAATGATGAGGAGGATGAGGAGGGGGAGGAGGAGGGGAATGAGGAGGAAGACGCGGATGAGGAAGAGGAGGATCAGGGGGGAGGGGGCCGAGGAGGACGTTGCCCTCCGGCCGACGATACCCCGCTCAGACATATTGGTTGCGGTCGGACTGCAGCTGGCCCTGGCCCAGCCTACCGCTGGACAGACCCCAGCCCCCCCCCCACCCAGCTCAAACCCTGCCAGAGCGGCTTCGACCTCACGCCTCTGGGCTCCGTTGCTGGTTCCAGAAATGTCTCCTGCACTTGGCGCGCGCGCGCGAGAAAAAAACATCTGAGCAGCCCGACGAAGACGCATCAAACACTTCGAGGGGGCAGTATGGCGCAAGACTGAGAGGACGCGAAAGGGACATGGGGACTGGGGTGATGATCCCAAGGTGCCCATGATTTCGAAGCGTCGATCTGAAGAGATGTGCCCGCTGTGCCACGGCCATGCTCGAGCCCCACCCCACCTAGAATCCTCCCGAACCCAAGCCCTCATATCTGTTCTTAAACAAACGCTGGACACATATGTTTCCGTGCTCAATTTTCCTGTTCTACGGCCAGCAAAAACGGAAATGACCCCACGATGGGGGGAATAGGGACAGGGCTAGGGATAGAGGGTTAGGGGCATAGGGATCGGGATATATATATATATATATATATATATATAGAGATAGGGCTGGGGATTCTATGATCTGGTCACAAGAATACGGTCAAACGGGATCGGGGCATGGAGCTAGGATAGGGAGAACAGGGAATCTGGTCATCGATAGGGATTGACATGCATGAATCATGAGGGGGACGGCAGCGGGAGGCGAGGGGAGGCAACGGGAGCCCCCTCGGAGGCAGCGCCGCTCGACCGCTTCCAGATCCAGCAGCGTACCCAGCTGTGGGATATAAGATGTACAGACACACGCACACAAATATGTCGACGCGGAGCCCCCACCCATGGAAGCCACGATTCGCGAGCGAACCAGCAACAAACAGACAACGAAATGCCCAACCCTGGAATAAGCGCATTGTCGAAACGGTCCGAAGGATCGACGGTTGTGGCGTAGCTGAGACCGCATGGAGAACGCATTGACAGCTATTACACACCAATGCGGCAAGACGTAAGCCTCTCTGGGACTTGAAGATCGATAGACAGCGGTCACCGAGAACCAATCACAATGAGAACTCACAACTGGAAGAACACAACGGCTCGCAAAACAGCAAACGGGACGACATACTATATCAACACGGCGAACCACAAACATATTCAAAAAAACCGACCCGCGCACACAGAAAAACAATCTCCAGACCCTCCCTGGACATCACCCTGGCCCATCTTCCGATCCGCGCAAAAAAACTGCACCGACGGGGCGCGCGCTCGGCCCGACAGCGCACGGGGCTGCGCCGCCGGCGCGCGGGGCGGCCCGAAGCTCCCCGGCCCGGGCCGCGAAGGGCGGCATCTCCTGGCCCCCTCGAGGAGGAGGAGGAGGAGGAGGAGGAGGAGGAGGAGGAGGAGGAGGAGGAGGAGGAGGAGGAGGAAGAGGAGGAGGAGGAGGAGGAGGAGGAGTGGGGCTGCGGGGCCGGCCCTCGGGTCGGACGACAGGGGGAGACAGCGGATGGCAAGACGGGGTGCGTCGATTCGGCGGCGTCGGTGGGGGCGGACAGCCCAGGGGCGGGCGTTACTGAAGGGGAACTGGGACACACAAATAAATACACACAAATAAAAATATTCCCCATATTTTCTCATATTTTCTGGGTTTCTGTCTTCCCGCACACTTCCCATATTTTCCCATATTTTCCTGGGAGTCGACGATTAATTGTGTCTGTGTGTTTTTTCCCCTCCTGAGTTACACGCACTCGCCTGGGCCTGGGCGCCGTGCCGAAGACATAGATCGTTGGCGCCCCTGGATGCGTGTACTGCTCTCCCCTGGGCTACTCGCCCCTACCGTCGCCCCCGATCGAGTAGCGAGTCAGCTCGCGCAGCTGGCTTCCCCGGCGGCCCCCCGGCGAGGGAGGCGGCCAGGCACTGAGGAAGGCGCCTGACGGCGGGGCCGACACCGGCGGCGCGCAGCGGAGTGCATACACTCCCCCCCCCCTTTTTTGATCGCCCTCCTCCTGATGCTTCCCCTTCCTTCTACTCCTTCTCTTCCTCCTCCTCCTCCTCCTCCTCCTCATCCTCATCCTCCTCCTCGCCGTCCTCCTCATCCTCCTCCTCCTCCTCCTCCTCCTCCTCTTCCGGGTGCTATATGGCCGCCGGCGCGCAAGTTTCAGCACGGATATGCCTCTAGCAGCAAGTGCGATTCTTGTGATCATCAGCAGGGCACGTTTGGCCACCAATTCTATGAGTGTGAAGGGCTCTGGGCTGCCAGTGAGGACCCAGATGTAGCCCCTGTGATGCCTGACGCGTGCTACGAACATCGGAAATGGCTGAAGGAGCAGGCGTATGGGATCCCTCCCGACTTCGACACTCCCGAGTTGGTTTACGGTTTGCCTTCTCTCCCCGTTGTGATCCCGCCTGTTGCTGATAACACCGCTGTTTTTTCTTGGGGAGCGACTTCCGCGCCCTGGGGTTTCCGTTTGTACACCGACGGGAGCGGCCTGGCGACGGGAATCCCTGAGGCCACTAGATTTGGACGCCCGAATTATCCGTGGTAACTCGGGTCCGGGGTAACTCGGGCTTGGGTTCCCGAAAAACGAACCCGAGTTAGCCCTGACCCTAGCTACCCCTGATGATTCGGGGCTCTGGACGCCCGAGTTATCCGGGGTAGCTCGGGTCCGGGGTAACTCGGGCTCGGGTTCTTGAAAAACGAACCCGAGTTAACCCTGACCCGAGTTACCCCTGATTCGGGAGCGGCCAAGAGGGGGGTGTCCAAGAGGGGGGGGTGCAAATCATGACCGGCGGCATGTGTGCGGCCCAGCGGGGGGGCCAGGGACGTAATGAAACAAGAAGGGGCGCCATGAGATCTGGGGATAAATCATGGCCCCCGCCATGATGTCCACCCCCCCCTAGTCATCACCCCCCTCTTTTCCGCCCCCGAAAAAACGAACCCGAGTTAACCCTGACCCGAGTTACCCCTGATGGTTCGGGGCTCTGGGCGCCCGAGTTACCCGGGGTAGCTCGGGTCCGGGGTAACTCGGGGTCGGATTCCCGAAAAACGAACCCGAGTTAGCCCTGACCCGAATTACCCCTCCTCCTCCTTCCTCCTCCTCCTCTCCTCCTCCTCCTCCTCCTCCTCCTCCTCCCCTCCTCCTCCTCCTCTCCTCCTCCTCCTCCCTCCTCCTCCTCCTCCTCCTCCTCCTCCTCCTCCTCCTCCTCCTCCTCCTCGTCCTCCTGGTTCCCTCTCTCCCGGGGGCTGGCCCGCGCGGGCTGACCACGGGGCCCTCGCTGGGCCTGCCCAGACGGCCCCGCGAGCCGCGCGCCGGGCCACACCCCACGCCCCGAAGGCAGGGCCGTGGGGCCCCGAGGTGGTCTCGGACCATTTTGAAGGGGAACTGGGACACACAAATAAAGACACACAAATAAAATTGTTCCCCATATTTTCCCATATGTTCTGGGTTTTTGTCTTCCAGCCCACTTCCCATATTTTCCCATATTTTCCGGGGAATCGACGATTAATTGTGTCTGTGTGTTTTTTCCCCTCCTGACATTTGTCGGCTGTCAATGAGGGGGCGTCCTGGGATAAAACGACGCGAAGATCGGGCCAAAATCGGATCGGGATAACTCGAAATCTCTGAGAATCGGCGGGTTTGGAGCATGTCTTGGGCGCCGCGGCCGCTCCAGAGCGTTCCGGGACGCTCTGAGAGCGCTCCGGAACGCTCTGGAGCGATTTATCCCGATCCTGGCCTTGTTTTATGGGACCCTGGGCTGGCCGCAGGCTCGGCCAGGCACGCCTCTGTGGGGAAACAGGCGTTCGATCTATATCGGTCGAGGCCGGAACGGCCTAGCTTCCGCTGGGCCCCTACCCATCTGGAGGTTCAGCAGGTCCTTGAGGACCAGGTGTTTCACGGCGGAGAGGCGGGCCAGAGAGTCCTGGATTGCATCGGAAACGCCTGGGCCGATTTCTTCGCGCGGCCAGGGGCGGCAGAGCACGAGCTCCCTGAGCTGGTGACCGCCCAGCTGCGCGAGACACTCTAGGATTGCTATCGAACTCTCGACTTCACTTCGCGAGCCGCGCAGCATGCTGCTGCTTCGGCTCCTGATGTGCCTGCACCCTCGCGGGTGCGCGGGGACGGAGTCCCCCTACTTACTCTGCCTTCGCATGATCTGGAGGTGGTGGATGGGGTGGCCGGGGCCGTGAGGTGCACGCGGTGCCACTGCTCGGCGCGGACTGTGTATGGGGTTAGAGTACAAAGGTACAGAACCCCTGATCCGTAGGTAGACGAAGGAGGGAAAGATAGGGATCCTTTCCTCCTGTGCGGCCAGCGTCCTGGTCTCCTCCAATACCTTGAGCCAATAGGGCAGGCAAAAGGGCGAGTGAGGAGCACAGATGAGGGTATGAGACGGGTTCCTTTCACACGGACGCCCATGAGCAGGAAGAAGCTCGAGCAGCCGGGTGCGAGCTGCACTCCGACCGCGCTCCACCTCTACCTCTCGTCCATGCGCGCCCGGCGGCGCGGAGGCGCCCTGCCGAGGGCGCGGTGTGTCGCAGTCCAGGAGGCCCTCGAGACTTTGGGGGCTCGAGGCCTCCGCTGAGGCCCCGATGGAGCCCCCTGAGACCTTCGTCTATGAGGGCCATGTTGTACAGGCTTCCGGTCGATACCTTATTTGCCGCCGATGTGCGGCGCACTGTCCGATCGAGGCGCCGTCCTGGCGCAAGCTGCTTGCTCCGTGCCAGGGCGCGGCGTCCTCGGGCCAAGCGTGGTTCAAGGACGAGGTCCTGGCTGGTCGTGAGCCGCGCCCACCGGCCCGTCTAGGGTAGCATCGGCGCCGCGCGTCGGAGCTGCTCTGGACTGGTTGTTGGGGTGGCTCGTGCGCGCCTGTGCGCGCTTGAAGGGGAGGTGTGCGGGACGTACCTGCACTGCCCCGTCTCCAAGGCACGGCCTCACTCGCCAGCTCGGCTAGTTTCCGTCCCGTCGGAAGATAGACCTTGATTGTCCCATTGTCCCCATCCTCATCCTCCTCATCCTCATCCTCATCCTCATCCTCATCCTCATCCATGTCCACATCCTCATCCTCATCCTCATCCTCATCCTCATCCTCCTCCTCCTCCTCATCCTCCTCATTCTCCTCATCCTCATCCTCATCCTCCTCCTCCTCCTCCTCATCATCATCATCATCATTACTCCCTTTCGTCCGACCCAGAGCTCCTGCGCGGCATATCCCGCCGATGCTGCTTCGACCTTGCCCTCTGGGGCTCCCTCCAGTTTCCAAGCTTCACTGTGCTACAGCCTTGCCCCTGCCCGATCTCAGCCCGACTCGGAACGCGATGGGTGTGGAGGCTTCGCGGAGGAGGAGGAGGAGGAGGAGGAGGAGGAGGAGGAGGAGGAGGAGGAGGAGGAACAGGATGAGGAAAAGGAGAAATGATGACGAGGGATGGGGGGGTGAGAGGGGGTGAGCAGGGAGGCGGACACTTGAGGAAACGTGACACATTGTCCACGCTTGAAAACCTCTTGAGGGTCCCAGGGGCCCAGAAGCTGACTTGCCCCTCGTCGCCATCGACCGTAGAGAAACTCGGGCGCTATGCTTCCGAGACGCCAGCAGGCTGGCGAGGGGCAACGTCAGAGGGGGAGCCGGCTCTCCGGGGGAGGCATCGACCCGACAGATCGGCGATGGGCACCCCATGGCGAACCCGCAAGTTCCTGGGCGGGGTGGGGGTATCGGGCCCCCTATCGGCGACAACTAATTAGGCGATCGAGGGTCGATGCTTCCCCCCTGCCCCTTATCCCCCCCCGCACGTTGCCCTTGAAGAGGTCTGGGGACGTGGGCCAGAAGTTGCCTCGACGGCGCCGATCCCTCGTTTTTTCCACGGGCTCCGTCGCCTAGTCCTGGGCCGACTGGATGAGAAGGGGGGAGTGGGAATGGTCGGCTACACGCAGGTGTGACCCTGGATATGAGTGACCTCTGGTGCGCGGCCTTTGGGGGGCCTCGGGGGGACCAAACACAAGCGCGCAAGACGCCAAACATCGCACCGCTTTCGGCGATCGGGGGACCCCACCTGTGCCCGCACCGAGGGTCACTCCGGCGGAGGGTCACTCTTACGTGTAGTCGGTAATGGGAGTGGGACGCTCGTGCGGGCGATCGCCCGGGCCCCTGCAGGGCGGAGCGGGTGAGGCCGTGGCCTCGCAGACATGGAAGAGGGATGAGACGGAGGAGGGAGGGAGGAGGGAGCATGCCGAAGAGAAACCACGAAAAGGGGGAGGAGAAGGAAGGACATCAGCACATGAGGACGAGGGAGGGAGGAGGGGAAGAACAAGGAAGATGAGGAGGGGGGAGGATGAGGAGTTGGTGGGGCCCTGGGTGGGGGAGGAGAGAGGAAGAGGACACGCTGGGTGCGCTCGCGCCACATCTGGCATCCTACCCCTCCCTCCCATCCCTTTCCATTGCGCTGTGATTTGCGCTATCCGCAGACGCGTGCCGTGGCCTACCTGGAACCCCAGAAGAGACCCCATCGTAACATGCGCAGTCGGGGAAGGGAAACCTGTGGGACCCGTGCGACCTCTGCGACCTGCGGGGCCTGTGGGACCTGCGACACCTGTGGGACCTGCGGGACGCGGGAACTGTGGGACATCATGTGAGACCTGCGAGGCCTGTGGGACCCGTGGCACCGGCCAGGACTTGCGGGACCTGCGGGACCTGGGACACGGGAGACCTCTGTGGGACCTGTGAGACATGCGACAATTCCTGGACCTCTGAGACCTGCGGGACCTGTCGGACCTGTGGGACCTGTGGGGCATGCGAGACCTGCTACACATGTGGGACCATGTGGGACCTGTGGGACCTGTCAGACCAATGATATCTGTGGGACCTGTGGGACGACCTGCGATTCTTGTTGTGGATCCTGTGGGACCTGTGGGGCCTGGGGGCCTGCGAGACCTGCGAGACCTTTGGGACCTGCGAGACCTGTGAGATCCGAAAGGTGGTCCATGCTGGGGCGGGAGCGCCGCTCTGAACGACGGGAACACAGCGCCGATCCGAAAATGAGGCCCACGCTGCAGCGAGAATGCAATGTGTGAAAAGCTTTACACGGTCGGAAGGAGAGAGGATGGTAGTGCAACTGTGGAGGAGGAGGAGGAGGAGGAGGAGGAGGAGGAGGCGCACGAGGAGGGCACATAATCACGAGTGGGAGAGAATGGCGACAGCAAGGAGGAGGAGGAGGAGGAGGAGGAGGAGGAGGAGGAGGAGGAGGAGGAGGAGGAGGAGGAGGAGGAGGAGGAGCAGGTCGAGGGATCCTTGCTGCGCTCGTTCGCGCGTCGCAGCTTGGCCTCGTGCACCTCGAGGCCGAAGTCGGTAGACATGTCCACGGTGGC